ATATAATGAAATTAAATAAACGATCCGCATGAAAGTAATGTCATTAAAAATAATAAACCAAGAAATATTAGCAAAAATCTGAAAATTTACACTTGGAGCCGGGCTGGCGCAACGGTCGAAATAGGAAATCGGTTTTTAAGCACATAAAAATGTCGTGCGTATTGTATGGATGGTTATGCAAATTTATTGCATTTTTGAGTTGTGTCACTGTTCTTGCCGGGGTGCAATATAATATATTGTTATTTATTTTTTATTGTTATATATTTTTATTTATATTATAAATACAGCTCATGGGGGGGGATCTATCCCTCATACCCCCCTCCCGTAATTACACCCCAGCTCGGGACCCAAATTGGAAGATCTGAAAAAAAATTCACTTGCGTTTCGGCGTCTTCGAATACCTGATGTGGGGCACTTGAAGTTTTCTCTTCCGGGTTTCGGTCCTCGTGACCATAGGGTCTTTCCGAAACCAACGTTTTAGCCGATCCCACAGGCCACGGAGTGTCTTTTTTTTTCCGCCGGAATCGGGTTGCGCTGTGGCTACCTCCGGAACGCCCGCGAAACTCGTCATCGTCTCGCCGTCCGATTCGACCGTCACGTAAGTGTATACCAGACGACGGCCCTCAGCCACCGACCCAACGGTCCGGTGCACGGATACCAGCGCGGCCCGGTGGTCGGCCACCGCGTCCGGCCGCGGCACGGCCACGGTATTCCACGGCACGTCCCGACGGTCGGCCGCCACTTCCGCGGTGATCCGCGCCGGCGGTCGGCGTCTGATGTGCAGCGACAACGGGCGCATGTCCACCGGCCGGTTTTCGGCGGACCGCAGGTGTTCCCTGTGAACCGCCAGGTAACAGTCCAACGCGTCCATTCCCTCGTCAACCGTCCCTTCCGCCGCAACTGCCGCGTCCCCGGCAGCCGTCCGGGCGACGGCCGCGGTCGCACCGAGATCGTCGTCGTCGTCCCCGGCGGCCGTCGGTGCCGAACACCGGACCACGTCCACCGCGTTCGGTTTCGTCGCGCTGATGTCGACCGTCGCTAGAGCACTGCGATTCATGTCGTAAACTTCGCTCTGTCGGACTTATAATACGTGCACTTCTATACGCGAACGCGTGTGTTCGATATTAGCGCGCTCGAGATGAAATGGACAGAAAAGTCATCGGAAACCGTTACTCGATTCGGTTGCCCGGCAAACAAACGAACGTCGTGTAAGTGAAAATCGGGTGGTCAAGACATTATTATTGGTCGGAAAAAAAACGGGTACGGTTTTGCCGTACGCTCGGACGACGGGTGTTCAAAAACGTGATGTCACGATTTTCGCGGTCTTACGGTAACACTTTGCGGTCCACGTCCCGCAGGTCCAATCCCATATGTGTCCCAAAGTGCGATCGCATACGTGCGCGAGTGCGTGACGCGTGATCGTCATCGAGCCCGCGGACCTTTCGGTAAAATATAATTAATTTGTTCACGATTGTTCGGCTGGAAAACCATAACGCGTAGGACCGAAATCTTTCGCTGTTTCAATTCATAGGAGAGGTTTTTTTTTTTTAAAAAAAATAATAAGAAAATGTCATCTGCTCGTACGATACAGGGTTTTAATTTTTTTTTTCTGATGCATATATATATATTTATATATATTTATAATGATAAATATACAATGTATACATAATATACTCGTTTGTGTAGTATATACGCACTGGGTAATACGTATGTTTTATACAATTTTGTGAAAGGTACGTCATTTCTTCGCTATATCATTACTCGGTCAGCTAATAGAAGAAGTACTTACGTAAATATCCTTGTCTCTGGAAGAAAAATCTGAATGAATGTCGAGGCCAGAACATACGTGACTGTTCACGCAAATAAGCACAACAAATAAAATTGATTGCGATAATTGGAAAAATTCGGTAATTAGGTCGGCGACGGTTAGGGTTAACCTATTAGAGGGCTAACCTAACCTATTACAGAAAATGAGACAACTTATAGCTACCTAGGAAAAAAAAAAAGGTCAAGGGGGGATCTATCCCCCATAACCCCCCCCCCCCGTAAATACGCCACTGCCCGGAAGGTTTGTGTGTGAGGACGTCCAAGGCGCCCAAAACTCTATCCGCGTAGTTATCAGTTCCGATCAGTCACGTTAATACGTTAAGTATTGTATCCGACTATATGTGAACCCTGTGCGTCATTGTACCAGACCGGATCGACCGCAGCACCCCCTCCCCGATAACTTATCACTTTCACCCCGTCTCATTTGTAACTAAAGTCGAGTTCCTTCCTTCCGTGTCGTCAGAGCAGCCGCCGTCCAGAGTGATTGGTATTTAAGTTGCCTGACTTGGATAGAAAAAAACGTCCGGAGTAGTATCCTAACTTCTACAATTTTGAGCGCAAAATTATTATTACCATTTCTATTATCGTATCACCAAGTGGACTGGTCACTCGACTCATCGTTGTCGCATCAAGAGTGGCAATACCTGGGGTAATAGTAAATATCCTACGTAGCAGGGCTTATTCTGAAGCGCAATTGGATTTATTTTGCGCACTTGATAATAAATGTTTGTATCATTTATTTTTAATTTTATTTTGTTTAGTTTTATTCTATATGTTACATTATGATTTATAAAAAAATTAAAAAAGACGATACAATACAGTAAAAAAAAAAAAAAATACTTTTCTTTACTTAAAATGAATGTAAATTGTTTTATATCTTTTAAATAGGTTACATTTTAAATTACTTCACCTAAAAGCTATAAATTTTATCGCTTTTAACTATAATTTGACAATTTATTTTTAAATCATAGTTCTATTTTAAAAGGCTTATTTAAAAGGATAAATTTATAGATACAATTCCGAAATACAAAAATTTAAAGAATTTTGAGCAATCCATTGAACTTAATTGTTCATTAGATAGTCACAAAATGATATCATTTTATGTAATCCGTGACAATTCAATAATAAATCTCAACAAAAGAAAGAAAAGTTTCCCATTTTAATATAATATCCAAGTACAGTTATCTTATAACAATAAATGAACTTGGACCTTTAGAATCACGTGAAAGTGCAACAAATTAAAGACTCTTTATAAATAAGATATTTTGAAAACTAATACATACTTTTAAATTGTATTAAAATTAAAAATGAATCCTCCTAATACATTTTTAATACGATAAAATTTATATAAGAAAAACAAATGCATAAACATTTTCCATATATTGTGGGATTGCTTTAAGAATATTCCTATGTAACATAGTCACCAACTGTTCAGTTAGGTCATTTTCTAGACTTCACCGCCAAATAAAAAACTATTTAATGTCATCTATATCTTATGAAAGACTCAACAGTCTTTTAGTAGTTTGAAGTATAATAGCATTTCTCACAAATAGTTTAAATTATTCAAACATTATAAAAAAAGAAAGAAAATAAAATAATTTATATCATAAATAAGAAAATAAGAAAAAATTTAAATAAAATCAAATATTATTGAATGGTTAATTTTCATAAATTAATTTATAAATAAATAAATAGTCAATAAATAGAAATTAATAAATAAATAATGTAATGAATAGTTGATAACACTTGTTTTTAGTTTTAGAGAAGAGCAAAATATTATTGCTCCTGGGCGGTAACATTTAAAATACGGGCCTGACTAGATTATTCTGCAGATAAATTTTACACTAGATATTTATTGAATATAAAAGTAATCGATAAAATAATTTCCTTCTAAATTTGTTATTATATGGTTTTTGTGTATATTTAACAATATACAAAAATAAAAAAAAATAAAAATTCCCTGTACAAACAATTTTTGAGCACACTATTTTGCAGGAACAATTGACACATATCTACAGTACATAATACACATCTATACGCAAATATTACAATGAGTCATTTAAATAATCCAGAACAAAATAATTTAGTTATAAACTTTTTTACAAATCTTATAGATGTATAATTTTAATATGTACAATTTATTTGGGTTACAAAGTAGAACAATTTTTATGTAATATATATGTTAAGGTATATGACCGCAGTAGGCGAATGTTGACAGTCACAGGTGTATGTTCACATTTACCAAAAATCGTAATAAATGTTGACAAAATGGTCTTAACGCGTTCATACACCAGTGATTGTTGACATTTACAATCAGTGTTTGGTAAATGTTGTCCATACTTGAAGCACGATGTATGTAAAAGGTATTTTTTAGTATTTTGTATGATCAATAACATTTTAGATTAGATTTGACGTTATCGTCCAGTCACAATATGCATTCAAGACGTTTGGACGTCAGTAATGTTATTGCATGAGAAAATCCGATAATCAATCGCTTGCTAGATAATATAATATAAACCCTCCTCAGTATTGTTACGTATTCTAAACCAAGTGCAACAGTTTAATAGCAGTTTATAATATTATATTTGAATTAAAATTAATAATGGATAAAAATATGAAAGATATTTTTCATGAAAAGTTTAATGCACTTTTATTATAAAAAAGGAAGATAATGTTTTTATTTAAGCACTGAAAAATATAATAAATATAAAATTGAAGTTATAAATGCTAAACTAAAAAAAAATAAACAACAAAGTGATTACAGGCGATTTGATCGGTTTTAAATTGTAGATGTTATGGATAATTGTAAACTAATTGTCCCGTTAAAAGTAAGTGAAACTAAAATTATTCACTATGTAAACAACGAAGAACTATACAACATTATGCACGAAACTCATATAAAAACTAGTCGTGGAGGGCGAAACTATATATGTTGTCAGCATTTCAACATTCACTAAATAACTATTGCGCATGTCAACAAATACTGATAAATGTCCGCATTATGAGATATTTGAAATAATTGATAACATTCACCAAAATGATCAGTAAATGTCAACATTCACTGCTATGCGGTCATACACCTTAACATATATATATTAAATGATAATAAATCATAACGCCATAGCTAATTTACTTATTTAAACTAAATACTTTAGAAAATTATAAATAATGCAGTAACAGTAGATTACATAATATATAAATAGTAAATATAAATTTAATATAATAAATTAATACTTAATCACTGATTAGTTATGCTAGTTTAGTAACTTTAAACAATAACGAACATTATATATTAAAAAAAATAATAATCAAGCTGTATCGTGAACATAATTGAATTGATCGCCAAATTTGTCTCGAAATTTCCGCTGATCCATACTATCTAAAATTTGAGCTACTTTCTTCACAGAAGATCTTAAACAAATTTTAAACATACATAACACAATATAAGAAAAGAACAATTAACTATTATTATAATTATGTTCATTATTAAGATTAATAAACCTTAAATAGCTAAAACCAATGTATTTAAGAAAAATTAGTGGAGAAAATGAAGTTTTCTTTTTTCATGAACACTTACTTTTTAAAAACTTTTTTTTCCAATCGAGCTCGAGGAGTATCCAGTTCTTTTTTTAAATTTGTCAAATTTAAATCCTTTTTCTTTTTCTTTCTACTACCTTTTACTGGCATTGTAAGGTCAACTCCTGTTTCACGCTATATCAACAAGCAAATATTCACCAATAAATTACTAATTAAAACTACAGAAAAACATTATACCTGTATGTCTCTGAGCAACTGCGGATCTTGCCAATCGGGTTTACTTGGTTTTATAACCTTTTCCGATAAAATTTCATTTTCAGGATTGATAATTCGACCAAGTTCATCTCTCGATACAATACGTCCATGAAATGGACACTATATAAGTAAAAAAATTGAATTAAGAACCCTAAAAAATAAATTGTTATTACAATCCTATTGGTATTGGTTGCATTTGATTAACCTTAAAACGGTCTTCTCTTGGGCATAATTTTCCACTTGGCAATGGAGCTCTACACTGTCTTTGGACTCTTTCAAATTTTCCAGTAAATTCTATAACTCGTGTACGTAGGTTTGCTGAGCCTCCAGGTTGAACGATCCCATCACAATCGGTATCCAATACAGAATTGGAAGTCCAAAAACTATGACCATCTTGATTTGTACTAAATAAAAATAAAAATATGAATTGTAATCTATAAATATAACTGATTATTCATTAATATTATGTAGTATTAATTTTTAGTACAACTACTATAACCTATATAAAGTTATATTGTTAAATTGGGATGTAATCAAAAAACTAGTAATAATGGATAGCGAATATAAAACCAGGATTTTAAAATAAAATATTATCTCTAGAAACTCAATATCGTTATTATAATCGATAAATTAAAATTATAGAAATACATTTTGTTTGTTTACTTTCATATCAATTTAATTATTTAAAGATTTTTTATAATTTATTAATAGCACTCACAAATAGATAATTATAATTGTGAATGGAAATTACCAAGCTATAATGAAGACTATTATAAGCTAAATAATTATTTTAAACATTTTAAACCCATAGTGGGTAAATTGAAAACCGTACGAGTTGATCAATTTCTAACTTAACGTTATGTATAATAAACTGTAAATGAAAATATCAAAAAATGTTAGTACCTACTTCGAAATTAATCAGCTTCAAAATAACTATAAATGTTAAAGTGGATCATATTTTATCAGTTTTTAGTTCAAATACCTACTTTATATCTTTAGTTTTGAAAATCATATAAATTTATAATAAATAGATAAAGGTACTGTCCAAATAAACTATACTCAGTTTGCACTATTTGTTTTTGCCAAAACTCGCTAGTTAAACGTTGCATAACCGATAAACATCGAAAATTCATACTCTATAAAATAAATCAATCAAAAAATTCATCGAAACCGAACTTTGAAAAAAAAAAAACAAAGCAATAAAAAATGCAATACTTTAATATTAAAAGCCAATGGCCTTGCCATATAATATATAATTGATAATATAAGTGCACGTGTTTATAGTTTAACGACGCAAAGGAAACAATACGCCCATGCATATTAATCACATTTCATACACATTTTCAAGAATATCATTACATTAGAATGTAATGTTTTGATTCGTAAAAAATGTATATACCTTTGAAATTAAATTAAAACGCATATTTAATTTCATTAAATATAAATTTATATTATAATTGTATTTAATATTTTCTTATAAATCCTATAAATATTTTCCGATAGCAAAAATAATAGTTTAGTAATAATATTATTGAAAATAATATTGAAACTAAAAAAATCGACACATTATTTTCAATCCGTTTGGATAAATTATAAATCCTTTTACGTGATTACTTTTCGTCAACGGGTATGAACACTCAACAGTTATTCGCCTAAAATATGTTTAAAAAAATAATTTCATTCGGATCTAATATTGTTTAAAATAGTCTGTTACGAAGCGAAGTTGAAAAATATAGTATAATAATATTATATATACATTTTACTACTTTTGTTCATTTTTTTTTTACCAGCATACCTGTTTTATATTATACTTCAACACGTGACTACCATGTACTGGTAAAATTCGCAATGGAGAATTTACGGTGAGAGAGGAACAATGTGTCCAGAAAAATATTTATCTTAACAAGGGACTCTTTTCTTTTTCATGTTTTCCTTTCTTATTCAATCATTGGCCACCCTAACCTAATTCACTTTTACACTTCTATTTTTCAAGTCCTCTTTAAAACCGCCGTAAAACAAATAATGATTTCACTTTTTATTTGCTGTACGGTTCTAATTTTTCGTTTTTCCTGTGCCACCAAACCATAAGTTTAAATCAAATTCCGCCTAATGATGTGTATATTATGATAATAAATAATTTTTGGTATCTCTTCAAAGAAGTGACAATATATTGAATTTATTTACGGTAAAATACGAGGCGCCGTAAGTTCCTCGTCTTCCCAATGGTAGAGATCGACATCGAATGGCAACTTTGGCACTTGGATTGCACGGTCATTGTAGCAACCGCTATTTTTTTCTCTGTCCTCAGCTTTTCCCGGCTCAGCATTGCTCGCGTGTGCGGTCTATGCGAAATCGACAAACATCAAAAGTACATTAATTTCTAAAGCAAAGAAATAAATGAAAAAAAAAAAATTAAATCATGTACATCGTCAATCGTCGATTCGGCTCGCGAACACTGGGCCAACAGCAAATCGTCAGCAGACACGGCGGGCACTACCTCCATGTCCGAATCACTGGAACATTCATCGTCATCTTCGTAATACGTGATCTTGTTCTCGCGGATCATCAAGTCGGTCAGACGCTGTTTGAGCTCGATCGTCCGTTTTAACAGATTTTCATCTGCAATTTTCATTAGGTATAGGATAAAGAACAATCCACACAAAAAAAAAATAAATAAATATACACAACCGATGATGCCTCGAATCCATTAATGGCGAGTGTGTTAAAATATATTCGTTTGTTTGATGCAGTTTTAATTTTTTTTTTTTAATATAAAATTGTTTTAAATAAAATTACCATTGACTTAAGATATGTAAAAATATCTTAATATTATACCAAATATAAAATGGGTGTACGATTTTACTGAATAATAAAATAGAAGGTCTAAAACTCTATAGTAATATATACTTCAATGCCTCGTCTACAAATCTAAGAACGACTTTTTCTCTTTATTTTAAGTGTCTACGAAATGGCAAAAATACAGTCATTACTCTCCGATCAACCGTGAGCTACTTTTGTGCAACTCTTTACATAAGTTTTTTTTTCACCATCATAGTTTAGTCATGTTAAAGAATAAGTTAATTATGTAGTGTTTAACTTGTTAAAGTTTTTTCTTATGCCTAACTACTATATTTATATATTACTTATAAAATAAATCTGAACACGCATGTACACGCTTTATCTATATATCTAGCCTAGTACGATATCCTGGTTCAGTGAGGCCCATTATATCTTGGAAGGAATGAATAAAACAAAATATCTAGGTAGGTATATATTACTCGGCATTTTCGCAATGTCTTGCAACCATTGCTTGAGTTTCGGCAAATATTTTCCAGATATAAGTTTCACCTGTTCCTCAATGCTTTCGATTATCGCCGAGTTATCTTCAGTTTTCTTCACCCTCTTCCTGAAGTCTAAACGCAAATAGTAAAAGAACCAAAATTACGATGTTACTCTACACTAAATTTTTTTTTAATATCAAATTATACACAAAATCGGAATCCACGATATTATTTTAATCATAATCACCCGGTTTTAGCGTAACAGATACGACCGCAGCAGGATTGATTGCACCAGTTTCACGATAACTAGCGTTTTTATTCTCTAAATCGTCCACTGGTGACTTGAACAACGATGGTTTCGCGAGACCCAATGGCGCTGTAGATTGCTGCTCCGCCTCAGGTATGAAAAACTCTTCGGGAGTGGGAATCAGCAATTCCAGACAAGTTTCCAAGGTTTGAGCCGCTGTCAATAATTCCGGTTCGAGCTCTACACGATAATTCGATACAAATACATACATATTATAATGTATTTACGATGATAAATAGGCGTATGTGTGACAGTAAATGCACGTTTCGATTGATTACCATTTAAGTGGGACTCGATTTTTTTCAATTTCTCCTCGTTCAAAATCCGTTGTCGCTGTTCTCTTTCCTCCAGAAGCCTAGCTTCGGCCACGGACCGCACCGTCATCGACTCGAAATCAATCTGAAACATGAAACGCGAACATCAGGTTAAAATAATAATATGACGACGGAGGCGGATAAGCCACGTACCGGTGGTCTCGAACCCACGTACCTTTTTATACTTGTTCAAATACTTGAACACGAACTCGAACTCCGCTGTAAAGTCTTTGCCAAACTCGTCTTTCCACTCTTTCAGACATTTGATCGCGAAAACTTCCAGTTCTGCAGCGAACTTTTTTGGCGGGGGCAAGGTACGCCCCGCATCCATGTTCACCGTGAGCTTAAGCAGAATCGATAAATTGATGATTGTCAACTTTCTGAACTGCTCAAATTTCCTAAAACAAATGTCATTACGATTGCGAAAAAACATACTATCGATTAACGGTACTTAATTATCGTAAAAATAAATAATAATATTAATCGTTAAGCATAAATACATACTTAAAAAGACCGTTACAAATTCGGAGTGCACTTAAACGAATCTGAGAATGTTTTTCTTTGAGCTGATGAAACAATAACGTGTGGACTCGGTCGATATACACTGAGGATATTCTAGAAAATGTTAACGTGTAAATACATTTTGCTGTACAAATGACATATTCGTTTATTCGATCGTGTAATACAGTTTTTACCAATAATAATTAATCGTAGTGATTCCTGTAGAATATGAAATCGATTGTAATACAAAGTTATTCATGTTAAAACCAGATTAACTACACTTATGTGTACTAAGTTAAAGTTAATTTTACAACCTCATTGTCTACAAATATATGTTAATTTCATTAAAATTTCTATTTCAAATCGTTTAAATAAAAAAAGCTACTATATCACTTAATACCTGGTAAACCGTGTGCAAAAGAGGATATACATAACAATACATAACGTCGTAAGCCAATACTGGAACTTATCTATTTTTTCATCTAACAATCAGCTAAAATTTACTAATGAAAAATAGGAAATTTTGTAATACTCCATATAAAACTTCTGTGTTTCGAGAACTTAATTATGTCATAAATATTTTGATATTAAATAACCAAAAATAAAGATAAACTAGTTTTTGAAGTAAAGAAAAAATATACCTAAGATAACCCAACACTATCCCCATTAGTGGCAATATACAATATACCAAAACATTAAATTTAATATTCAGAAAATATGCCTATATTTTTATAAATAATTGGTTAATTTATTACTACCTAACGATGTAGTCTTAAAAAGTTACAGTATTGAATATATTAATATTAAACTCACAGTACAAAAGTACCCACCAGCCCATCATCAAATTTTGAAAGAATAATTGCTTCAAAATAATACCTTCGTCAAGCCACTAGTCAATGGTATTATCCGGACAATCCCTAGACTATCCATTATCCGATTTATAGTAAGGGATGATTGAAACATTTTTACTGCGGACTTTTTATTCAAAAGTTTAAGATCACGGAAAAATAATTATTATATTTCTACCTTCTCGGAATCGAAAATAATAAGATACTATGCATAAAAGTCGTAATAAAATATGTTGCTTTGGTAAGGGTTACAATCACAATCCGGTTATCCTAATAAGTAATCGACGAATAATCTTTTTCTGGTACTCAATTAAAAAATATTAAAACGCATTATTATACTAACTACAAAAACTCTTGACATTTTTACAACATTTATCAAAATTAAACTGTTTATACTCTTAGTTCGGGTTTAATATTATTATTATTTTCTTGGTGTAGCCATATTGTTCCACTTTAAAGTATGAATTCCAAATCGACCAACATTTATTTATCCCCACTAACCACAGTAAAACACATTTAATCAATATGTACTTATATCGTTTATAGGTTAATCATAAAATCGATTTTTTTTTAATAGGTTTTTGTTTTTTGCGTATTCGAGAAATACAAGACGTCGACTTCAGGCTGGACATCCATGCATTACATATTAGATTTAAAAATATATCGCAGACGGTATACCATGTTTTTTTCCTAAGATTGAACTCGTCGAATCGACGATGTAAATAATTTGTGTGTATCTATAGAACAGAGATACTCAACGGGCAATTTAAATCCGTGTTCTAAGATTAAGCGCGAGTATGCGTCGCGTGTACGTTATACATTATTTAGTACGTGTCGTTATGAACAAACGAATTATTGTGATTACGAAATGTATAAGATTGTCGAACAGGCCAATGCATTGTGTGTCTCCAATCCGAATCAAAATAATATTATTATTGCTATCATTTAAACGCGTTTTCGTGTTCTGGACTTGTAAATGAAGAGATAGAAGAAAAAATGTAACATAAATTAGTTGTTGAGAAAAACGCTGCGATAAAAAAAATCACAGATGCGGGTAGGGGAGAGGGTCGAAAGGACGACTGCGACTATGCGTTTACGTTTAGCAGCGCCTTAATAAAAAAAAAAAAACCGTTCGGTCTACGAAATACGATATAGCGGACACACGAATTTTTATCCTCGTGCACACATTCTCATTTTAATATACTGCTCGTGCACAATCCGTTTCCAACATTAGAATCGATTAGAGCCGACGACGACGTTTCGAAATTGGTCTGGAAATCTTACACATCCGCATTACAGCGTACGGTGGTCACATTATCGCAATCTAATAGAAGACGGATATAAAACGCAATCGTGTTTATATTATTGTTACTCACATAATATGTGACTATTTTTTTTCGGGTCTCTTCTCAATATCTTCGTCGTACATCGTCCCCGTACACATAGACCGTGACACGGTTCGCAAAGACTCGTTCGACTTCGGGCATACACGGGCTCGACGGTTCGGAAACAGCTAACAGGAAAATAATATACGTTTCACGTGTATCTCTGAAATGAATCGCGTACCAAACGATTGACATCACAGCCGGCGTATTCCGCGAACAGTTGTCACACGCTCACAAAAGTCTTGTCGCCGCCGTCCGTCTCATATCCGCTTCGTATTTCCGACGTGATCACCCCCCCTCCATAACTAAAATGTTAATTTTAACAGTCATTTTTCCGTTTCAAACATTCAACTTGCACAATAATCAATCGTTTAGCAGTCATCAATTCATCATGAACATCGCTGATTTACCGAAGTCGTTGTATAATGCGATACGAAGGATCCGGTGCACGCCCTCTTCCGACGCCTCTGCCGCATTACGTAAATTTATTTGGCGTCGTATCCCAAATTGTATTCGTTTATCTCTACGATTACACATAGGAATACTATACAACACGAATAGCGCGTGATCGATTGAACGACGCGTTTTTGTTTTATTTTTTACGACTTCTTCCCCAAAGGTCTAATAATACGAAACGCGTGAAATCTCAATTTTCGACTCCGTAATGTTGCATTCGCATATAGTGTTAACAAAAAGCGTGCCGAATTTAATATGGTGCGTAAGAGTCAGGTGTGTACAGAAAAAAAGTTTATTGATACGAGGTTTTAGATTTTATATTTTCATACTTATATAATCTCAAAACAACTTTTACGCTACAAAAACAAATTTAATAATTTTCCTGAATTTCGGGGGGGGAGAGGTAAGAGAAACCTTTAAAACCCTTCTTTGTATTACGAATCCTACAACTGATCCAACCAGTAGCACACGGATGGGGGGATAAGAGATCATAACCCCCCCCCAAATATAATCCATCATTAAGGCTTTACCATATTTTTGCATAGAGTTATACAAAATTATTCTCTATAATAAATTATTAATAGCACACCTTCCCCCGAAAAAAATCCTGTGTGCGTTATTGGATTTGACAACCACAACCTGTCTCAAGAAATAAGGATCAATTGCGAACCCGTAAAAATAGTTATTGACTTTACGCAATTATGATGAGGCTATAATATTTCGATCTGCTCTTCGTGTGCAATGATATTCTTGTATGCCCTGCACGTTCTTTAGACGGAACAAATGAGATAGTCACGCGAGGTCACGAGTCTTTTGTGCCAAAATGAAAAATTAAATTGACGGCAAACCAATACAGTACACGGCTACTTCCAAAAACAAACCGCGTTTATGAACGAAAAAACGAAGAGAACGCAATAATATACTTTAATTCAATATTATATTATTATTAATTTTTTTAATAGGATCAGAAAACATGAGAGTTAAACGACATAACACGAAAGAATACGATGGTTACAAATTTTAATGCCTTGCGGTCAAATGAAGTAAAATAATTCGGATCCAATGAGTGGACAATTGAGTTCGAGTGGTCACGGAATCAGCTGCGCGTAATTGCGAAAAAAAAACTATCTATGCACATAAACATATAATATACATGGGCGAATGATAATTATCAACATTGTTATTACTATAATTATTATCGGACTACTATAGCAGTCTACGGCTAGAGGCGGAACTAGGAATTTTTACGATAGGGGAAAATGTTAAAATTACGCCTTATCATAAACGAAGAATCAAATATCATTCTCAACGATTATTTTCTAATAATTAGTATGCAATCATACTTAATGAGTTTTAAACACATTACCAGTAACAAAGTTAAGAAAATATCAGACTAGTCGATAATAGATTATGTACTACAAAAATTACACCCCGTATAATTTTACGCCCAGAAATGAACCTCGTCTTCCTCACCAAAGTTCCACCACTGACTACGGCGGCATTTGTTCAGCGTTTATTCGTGGTATCATAATCATATATTGACATTAATAAACGATGCCAACTACCGGTACGCAATAATATTTTAGTATGTATTACCCATGTAACAGCCGACAAATTCAAACTCGCACCGAAATTACCATTTGTTTGTCAAAGGATATCCGACACTCAGCCGCCATTACTACGAACCGATTTTCTGTAATTGTCTTGCGCTTGAAAACAATAACCTACAGTGACACTTATTGCTACGGCTTAATTAAAACGCCAAGTGCGTAATTACTCGCCACCGAACACTATCTCGCACATTCAATGCAGCTGAAGCTTCCGCCACGCCGCTGCACAATCATAGAACGGGTACAACAATATCGATAACAGCGAGCATAAATCACGAGCGTACAGTGGCATAGCAAGGGTATGTCACTGTGCCTACACCAAGGGTGCACATTGCAAAGAGGCGTAACATTGTGTAAAAGTCGTATTTTTATACCACAATTAAATCGACATTTTTCAATTATACTTTTTGAAATACGTGGATGCTGTCTATTTGTACACACTACGTGTGAATTAAATAATTAAATTATGAAAAGAGGGTATTTAAATAAAAAATTTTAAATGGAGAAATTATCAATGAATTTGTCAAAAAGCGAGAAAAGCAAATTTCAAAGTTTAAAATAAACACTGTAATAATAAGTTAAAAGTATAAATTGTATACTTAAAAATGTAAGTAAAATTAAATGTTCAAAAAAATACCACAACATCAAATTTTAATCAGTAAGAAAGGTAACTTTTTTAAGTTTGCCAGGGGCGCTGGCCAGTCTTCCTACGCCACAGCGCGCGTATCACCTAACCTTATTCTTGCGTGACATTTCGTCGACAACACCGCTGTTGTAATTAGTACCTGTGTATTTGCTCATCGTCGATCTGTTGAAACGTATTTAAACGGCAGTTAATGTGCAGGTAATTGACGTTCACGTGATTTCCGTTAGGTGTGCAGTGCCAAATAATAGCCGCGTACACGTAACAGCCGTCACACCGCAACACATGCGAGTAAGTACGTACGAAACACCAATGAGCAAATTGTTATTTGATTTTATGCGACTGCGATCGCGTCACCAATAGTCATTTCTTACTTCCCGACTCCGCCATTACCATTTTTCAGCAATTAACTTGGAACATTTATAAATTTCTCGTGATAGGGTGACATAAGTCAAATCAAGGTCAGGTAGGGTCCAAATAAAATGAATTTGATTAACACAAGGGAAATGAAAATCGCTCAAACATCTAACATCACGGCCACGGCACCGGTTACTACAACATGAATCAATTTATGAATCAAAATATTAGTCACTAGGTGTCATACGTTTTTTAAGTTCTTCGTTTCGCTCTATATATAGATTACCACTGAAAATTATATTCTCTCTCACAGCCAATGGCGTATTTAAGTGGGGGAGGTACAGGGATACTGGACCCCCTCCAGAACCTCTCCAAAAAATAAAAAATAAACTAAAATTCTTAGATATTTGCAGAATTGGCTATGTTAAACATTCACAGGGAAGTTGAAATTACTGTTGATGAAGTGATAGAGGCATGCGCGGCCGCAGGGGGGGAGTAAAGGGGCCATTTCCCCTACTGGGAATTTTTGTTTCAAAACTATTGTTAATTTAATACCACGCATATTAATTATAACATAATTTTATTGAGATCCATTTATAAATTTTAGTAAAATGTATTATATTTTTAGATAATCTAAAATGTATAATCTTAAACGTATTTATTAGTATACAATGTTTACACATGATTGCATATCGCTTAAAACTATAAATTCTCCCGAGTACTGATTTCTATGGTATTTGATTTTGTCTCATATATTTTTAGATACACGTTGCTTTAGCCCTTAGAATTTTAATCTTATCCCGGGTGGGATTTTAACCTGCGGATGGGCTTGGATAGAGGAATTGGCCAAGAAATCGAGACGACTGGAATTTATTTTATAACAATACTGTATAATATATAGTATTAAATACAATATATAGGTATATATATATAATATTACGTAAGACTATACGATTATTACATTATATATTAAGTTCAACTTTCTCCAAAAACTGCATAAGGACGTAACTATTACAATATAATATATAGTTTATATTAATTATGTATAAACTGTGGACCCCCAGAAAAAATTGAAAATACGCCACTGCTCACAGCCTATGCTCAAAGTAATATTTGTTAGTTGTATACATAGTTGTCATCAGCGGCGTAATTAGGAATTTGGTTTAGAGGGAGGGGGGATTATAAATTTTAGCAAAATCTGTATACCTCATACAGTAACCCCCCTCACCACACCAAAACAAAATTTTTAATAATTTTAATTTTAATAATAATTATATTATCACAATATAATAAATAAAAAAAAATTACATAAAAAAAGTTTTGGGGGGGATCCATCCTCCTAATCCCCCCTAATTACGCCCCTGGTTGTCATTATTTTTTAACATTAAGAGAGATGAAGAAATTTTGAGTTTTACGATGTCTACTTTTTTCTGAAGAATTACTATTAAATGTTTCAAAATGTAGAGTATTCTTCAATCAATTTTCGGTAAATTTGAAGTATATCGTGTTTCGCTGAACTCCTCTTTTTCTTTTAATGCAATAACCAATAACCATTGTCTTAAAGTACACAAAAAATAAATAAATCACCTTGTTTTGCGGATAGCGAAAAAACAAGTTCCCAACATAGGAATTTGCTGACTACATAAATATATTTTATTTCTTTTAATTCCCTTCAAGCATAATATTGATTTTTGAACACATAAATTGTACAAAACCTTCTCAGTGCTAAATATTATATTTGTGTAAAGGTAAAATAAATAAATTTCCCTTATTAGAAAATTATATATATTAAATATAACTAGATAATACACAAAAAGGTCAGATAATAAAAAGAAAAATATGTCAGCATATATTTTTTTTATAGATTTATATATTTATTAACCAGTTAAAATAACATTGATCACATAAATTTGAATTAAAAATGAAAAGGGTATAAGGTTTAAGGTATAAGTCTTATGAAGCAGTATCTATTCTAATGGCTAGGTAGTTTGTTTTCTAATACAGACACGCTTTAAAGCTAAAACATCACTTAACTAAGCAAATAAATCTGTTTTACAATATAATTATAGGTGGTAAATATGTTTTTGCATATAATAAATGATTAAAAATTAATATTTTAGTTATAATGCCGATCCAAAAGTAATAGGTAACCTAACCTAATTATCATTGATTATATTTTTTTTTTAGTTTACAATAATTTTTTTTACAATTTAAACTATAATATTTATTAGTTTCATACAAATGAAACATTAGTCACATACAAATCATTCCATACATTAAAATAATAATTTTTTAATGTAAAAAGTAATTAACATAAAAATTAGTTATTACAACATATTTTATTTTTAGTAATGCACCTTAATAAAATAATGTTAACAGATATTGCTTGTAATAATTTTTTATTTGATATGTATTTGAATAATTGTAAGCATGTGCAAAAGGGCTATTTATTTAAAGTTTATATTTATAATAATCCTGGATACCTTAATTTCAAATAAAATTGAATTGTGCTTATACAAAAAAAAAGAAAAAAAAATTACCTATTAAATAACAATTACTCTAAGTAGCCGAAGTAAAGGATAAATAACAAAAATTTAATATTGTTAAGTTATAATTTGGTAAAAGCCTGACTGTCAATAAATTGACCTTTATATATGCATCACCCTGTATTGCAGGTTCGTTTTGCTCAGTCACACGTAGTGCTATTAAATATTATCAATCAATTTGAAAAAAAGAAAAAATATTTATTATTATAAAATTAATTGTAATAGTATTGAACAAAAACATAAGAGATGGATTTAATTGTTTGATAAATAATATTCTTACAGAATAAAATAAAATTATTAATCCAATATGTATTATACATGCGACTCAGAATGTAATAAATTATATTGAAATTATTTTACAGTGATACAATTTCACTAGGAAAACTCTTAAAGTAAAATGAATTGAACTAGGATATTAATAGATACAACACATTTTATATATTATTTAAATACAATATGCTTCAAAGTTAGTTTGGACTTATTACCATGTCAAATGGTATAAATTAATCTACGTGAGATTATTAATATATAATTTTAAGGACTAGACTGTTACAAAACAAATACAAATATTATAAATCTATAAAAGTGAACTTACATTTTTATTTACAACCAATATTGAAATAAAAAAAATGTATTTATACTTAAATTAATACTTTTTCCAATAAAAATGTATTAAAACTATTACTTGAAAATATATTTGCACAAGATTAGTTAATTGAAATTTAATAGAATATTACAAATAAATACTGATGTAATTTAAATGAGACTATTATTTGTGCTTAAGAAACTGATGTTTAAAATATAATATAATGAAAATCGTAAATATTTTCATTTACTAAAAGCCAAAAAAAAAAAAAAAATATTAAATGAAATAAAAACCCTGTCAATAAAAGTCAAGATCATAATAAACATATACATTTAATGGTTATGGTATATTCAACTAACTAGGTTTGTCTTAAAATTACTTCCAATAAATAAAATCACAATGCACACAAATAATTTGCCTATATATTATTACATTCACAAATATATAAATTATTCAACAATAGTTTAACTTAACATTCAAATCTTATATCTAATTCGATTGTCAGAACATATTGAAAAAATATAAAATGCCTTTATGTTTGGTAATCTAATACGTTTAAACTAAAGGTGCATACCTTCAAAATTAAGCCTAACACCATGGAATCAATAGCTTATATTTTAATAATAAATATGTACTGACCAGTAAATAACAAAGTATTAAATATTAAAATTAATTCACAAAAAAATGAACAAAATAATAAATAATAGAAAACATAATGGTATTAATTTTGGCACAAATAAATATAAAAAGGTGCTTGCATTTCAATATTAATATTATTTATATTAGTTATGAATAATGTATGAACTTGATTGATTATACTATATAGTAACAGGTTTCTTGTTAATTAAATGTTTTAATTATGAATTTATGACAGATAAAAGTCCATACATTAAAATAAATATACTTGAAAATAAATTAGAATAATATAATTAATTTATAACAAAAGGAGGAATGTTAACATTTTTTTGTGTATGAACATTGAACAAACTTCAAATGCATACCTACATATTACATTTTATCGTTATAATAATAATAATAGTAAAACATAATAGAGTTTGGCCAGATATCGATGCTTAAACCTTTTTTCTTTTATTTTATTTGTAATAACTAATAGTGTTATTAAACAGACTTTTTATGAGGTAATCAATTAGTTCTAGATATCTAAAAACAATACATTTCTTAAAGCTAAGTTTATTATCATAGTAAAATTAAATACCAAAATGTCTAATATATATATATATATATATATATATATTTGGTTTGAATAGACAATTCAGAAATATAACATCCAATTGGTAATGCATCTTCTATTGATTTAATAATACCTAATTAAACTAGTACAAAAAAAATAATAATAATAATAATAATAAAAATATTAAACAAGTTACTAGGGCATGTGTTCATAACAAATTATAGAAATTAACAAATCTAATTAATTAATATAAAGCCAAGTGACTTGAGCTTTAAGTAATTAGATCAATGTTTATAGATATTGGGCGCGAATTTCTGACAATGAATAAAAATGTCTTATAACTGTTTCTCAATAAGTCAGTGAAATTGATTTTTATCAATTATAAGAATATTCATGATTTCCATTTAAGTCTATACAATTTGAACAGACACACCATGATTCTATTTGATGGGAACATCAAGTAGGTAGACATTTAAATTAGTCACCTAAACCCAACACTAAGTAATGAATAAATTCATTAATTCATCTAGGCTTACATAGTAATCTCATTTAATCATTACCAGCTTTTAGTCGTAGACGAGCGAAATCTTCAAAAATGATGTCTTCATCATGAGATGGTGCCGGACCATCTTCATCTAATTCAATTAGATTATCTACGCGCACGCCATTGTCATCAACTCCTGTGCCTGGATTTGCAACACTACTGACAGTTGGTAGGACTTCTTCTTCAGGTTTGGGGTGCATCAAAATAAATGGAAGTTCGGCCGTTAGTTCTCCTCCCAAAGCACCCAAACAAAGTTTCACCTTCACTTTATATTGAACAATAATTCCTAAGTTTTCTTTTTGTGAAGGATTGCTGACTATTGTTGAAGAAGCTAGATTTGTATCCTCATGTTTTAATTGTCCATCTAAAGCTAAACCACGCTTGTCTTTGTTGTTATGCAAAGTAGGTTTCACTGTATATACTTTGGACAAAGTAAATCCTGGACCAACAGGACAACCATCTTCACTTTCTAGTTCAGCAACAGTACATTTATACTGGGCAGTTGAAAACAAACATATATCAGCGAACTGTCTTACAAATACTTTAACTTTTTTTACTGTTCGATTAGAATTATTAGCTATGTGAACATTCACCGAAATGCTCTCTCCATGGTAATAAAGTTCTTTATCTAAAGATGCTTCTAAATATAATTTGTTCGGGCTCATGACAAATTCCTTGTATACTTCCACTGATGGTTGAATTTCTTCTTTTTTTGGAGCATACATGATTTTCCTAATTGCAAGCCTTATGGAATTTCTTTTGTGAGGCTTATCTTCAGCAGTATCACCAACAAATGCTTTAAATTCATAATCCACACCACATGGTTTTCCCGTATCACCAGCAGCTGGTTGCAACGTAACAGATGCTGGACAATGGGGTGGTAACTCAAAATAAAATGGTATGGCATTTGGACCGAGTTTTTTGATCAAACGTTCTTGTAGCCTAGTTGGTGTACGAATATTACCAACTGGATATATTTGTTCGGAAGCAAGATAAAGGTCTTTTCGAAAAGTCAATCCCAGAACGTCCAGGTCTTCGCGGCCATAACGAAAAGCGGCTAATACGAGACCAAAAACCTTTCTGCCTTTGACATAATCAGGGTCAACTAATACAACGCCATCAATAGGATCGACGTTGGTTATGTGATCGACGAAATCTCGTTTGCCCAAGTATACTGTGATTTTACCATTCGGGGAGCTTTTCTTGAACACCCTGGTTGGTTGTCTAAGGTTGCTGCGGGCCGCTGAATCAGATTCACCATTGTTTTTGTCCATACTTGTCTGTGCGAGTAGAAAATATTGTTTATTACAATAAACAGTCGGTTATCAATCACCCGTGTCTTTATTATAGTTTAAAAATGTAATTTTTGTTTCGTTTTACGATAACTGCTTTACAGGGTGATGCTCAGAACTGGTAAAACGGTGCGACATGGCATTTTAGGAATGGAAAAATGAAATTGATGAAAGAATATTTCCTCTATATCGTTGGCGGTCGAAGTCGCATACAGAGCAGGGTTAGACAGAAGTAGTAAAAGTAGTTATTGTATAATAAGGAGAGTAATAAAGTAGTAATAGTAAACAATAGCGTTACAAATAGAAACAGTAGTAGGTACGAGTTCAATAATATTTACTATTATTCGATCGCAACAACCATAGATTTAGAGCACATCAACGATATCAGTAGACGATGACGTTATAGTATTGCGTTGTGTAACAACACAATACGATACTCTACGAACGTGGTGGATACAGGTTTTGAGCGTTTGCGAGTTACGATTTGGTTGTGCCACTTACTTGCAGATGTTTTCTAACTGTTCGAGTTTGGCGCGGTCGATATCATTGTCACCGGAACCGGTCAAACGTTCGACGAGTTGCGCTGCCCGGCTGGCCGTACCGTAGTCCAGCGTCATGCCCGACCAAAATACGTGTCGTGTCGGTGATGGTCGTCGTAACAAATCAGAACCGAGGGGGGAGTCTCGGGAAAACGTGTGCGAAGGATTTGTGCGTCGTGTTTGTCGACTTGCTCGGAACCGACGATGTTCACCGGAGGTGTTTCCGTGCTCTTGCGACGGCGGTCACATGTGATCGGCGACCGGAGAACGCGTCATTCGTCGATGACGACAACAGATGTTCCCGGACTCGTCGTCGTCGTCACTGGCGGCGAATCGGTGCAACAATAATATTGATAATAACGGTAACGAATGCAGACGACGATATATTAAAATATTATTATCGTCATCGAACCGTCGTGGGGCGGACGCGCGTTGTACCGACGACGAACGTACCCACACTACTAATGCTGCACAGCGCACACTTGTCGTCGTCGGGTCGCGCGCGATTTATTTGCACCGCGGGCAATCGCGTTTATCCTCTGCCGTTGTTTGATACTGTTATTGTTATTATTATTATTATTATTATTATTTTTATCTCCGCTCCGTAGCGGTGTTTTCCGTTCGGCGATCGGATAATAATAATAATAATAATAATAATAATAAAAAAAAATTAATGCACATCATACGTACGACGGACGTGTGTATCTATACTGCGATACCGGACGGAGTGTGATACGCGCACGACCGTAGGTGCCCGCGTCAGTGTGCGGAACGCGTACGTGCGCGCATGCCCCCGCGATCCGATGCGTGCGCGCGCTAAAACAATTTCCTTTCCCCCCGCACCGCTCCGCCAACCGCCGTCAACGCGAAAAATTTATTATTATTATTATTATTATTATTATTCGCTGCGCGCGCCCCGTAGGTCGAAAACCGATTGCGACGTTCGCGCGTGTCGCGATCTTTTAAGCCGCTGCGACGGGTCGTCTCGTTTCCGTCGTCGTCGTCGTCGTCGCCCGGGGGCGGTGCGCGAAACAGGGCCGGCCGGAACTTCCGAGGGCCCCCCCCCGTTCCCTTTGCAATTGACCGTGATCGCTTGTACGTGCTTTGGTACGGCGCGAACGTTGTGCACAACGCCGAAACGACGGGCCCCGGCGAGATGCACCTGCACCACCTGCTCCGTTCGGGATTCGACGGAAAACGGAAAACGTCGAGACCCCGGGAACGTTTGTCCGCACGCCTACCGAAAGAAACGAAATTCGGTCCGCGCGGTTCACACCGTCTCGGAAATCGCAACAACGATCCCGTGGGTCGGCCGACGGAGATTTTATCAGTCCCGTGCGACACCGTTTACCCCCTGCCGTCCGCCCGCTCGATCTTACCGATACGATGGCGGCTGGCGGTTCGGAACCCAGTGGCGCCACATGTGGCGCGACGGTTTTCTCCGTGGCCGCGAAACCCGCCGACCCATTGTCCGAACGCGTTTGGCGCGCGCCCATTCGTTTTGCCGGACGGTCGTTTAACATCCCGTGCACCGGAATATCGTCCGGGATCGGGTAGGTGCGCGGAACCTGTGGCGTAGCCAAGGGTGGCTAAGGGGGCTATAGCCCCCCCCCCCATGGGCCGTGTTTATATGTATAATGTATCTTGACTATTTAATAAAATCAATGGATCCTCGTTTCAATCAAAGGCTTATTGATGTTATGCCACTTGAAGGACTTATTTCGGCCAATTTAAATATGTATGACGATAAAAATATTATAAAAGCTGCTAAAGTATACGTCCAAGATCTTCATGATGATACCTCATCTACAATCAGAGCTGACCTGTTCATATGGAGGCAACAATGGAGTCAAAATACTAATCCAAAACCGATTTCAGCTCTTGATTCACTCTCTCATCGCACCAATCTCCGACCTAACATTAAAATACTTTTACAATTATTCGCCACGTTACCAGTTACCTCTTTCACTCCGGAAAGAACGTTTTCAGCACTTAATCGCTTAAAAAATTTTTTAAGAAGCACCATGTCGGAAAACAGACTGAATGGGTTGGCTAATATAAATAAAAAAGAGCAATTCGATGAAAGTGAAATAATAACTGAATTTGCCAGAAATTCGCCTAAGAGGATGCAGCTGTCAGAGTGGAGCAAGTGACTGAACACTGAAACCAAAATTATTATTATTATTATAAATTATATATTAATAAATATTTTTAAAACTATACTAAAATGCTTGAATTACGTTTAG